AGCTCGACAAGCTGATTCTAATGGCATACAGCGTTCTTTCCCATAGGACTTTAAATTAGACAAAATCAATCAATTCTATTTGTGAGAGCCTAATATATTCAAGTGCATGATCTTGCTTTTTTCTCAGATCATAAGAATGTCCTCTCTTTTTCTTTAATGTTGTTATCATGAGTATGTATAAAATTCTAGCGTCTTGAATGTGATCTCGCACAAGTAGAATTGATTGATTTTGTCTAATTTAAAATCTCATGAAGAAGAACGCTCTATGTCATTAGAGCCAGCTCGTCGAGCTCTACAAACTGATATACCTTCGATTCTAAACGACGTGTCAGACTTGGAGATCTGTACTCGTAAGTTGAAAAATTCGATAGTTAAATCTACAGATTGTTGGCGTCTGCACCGCTTTTCAAAGCTTTTCTTTTGAAATGTCGAAAACACAAGAAAAAGTTGCTACTCAGCTTTGAGATACACTGATAGTGAAAAACAGTCTTCTAACACGACCCCCGAAAACTCCATGAGATAGTGATTATAACCTGCGTTTAGAAAATTTTCAGAGATAAATATGAGTCAATTTCTTTTCCGTTAGCTGAAAGAAAGCGAACGGCTATGGCATCGTTGTGGTTGTGGACGAGAGTGTGAGTGTGGGTGAAGACAAGATTCACACCCACATCCTATGTGACAGTGAGGGTCAAATAAGCTGTAAATGCCTCAGTAAAAGTTTATATACTACGTCACTTGTTCCGTATCTTTCGACGTATAAATTTTAGATTTCGGCAGAAAATAATTGTAAATGAACGTTGCTCGAGCTAAGGTAGGTGTGCGTGTGGGCATCAAAAGAACAATACGCCCATACCCACACCCACATTCCGCACCCCTTAATTCAATTTTCTCTTTTAAATCAATCATACTTGGCGTTGGTTGAGTATTTGTACGAGCAGAATCTTGCTGAGATGAATTATTATAATCACGTGGAATATTAGCAGTAGATTGCAAACCAAAAAAAAATCAGTATTAGGATATGTTGCACGATCATTTCGATGCATTTCTTCTCTTGTCACAATATTGATTACACGTGCCCTATTTCTTTTCTTTTCTTCCATAATCAGTTGCGCAGTAAAGAAAGAAAGCTCGCTAGCGCAGCTCCAAAGGGGCTGAAATGTGGAACTCACGCATATTCTTCAGCTTCATTATACTAATGTGAAATATATTTAGTATAAAATCACAATTTTTTTAATTTTCTGACAGGAGTCCTTATTTTTCGTTTTCTTTGTTGCTATGCACTCCGTATTTTTCATTTTTAACACTTCTTTTTTCTTTAATTTTACATTTTTATTATAAGAAGCATTGAATTATATGGCGAATGAAACTGTTATATACAGATATGTATATGTATATCCATTATTTTAAACCTGGTCGCTAAGGTCTGTAATGGGGTCTATCTGTAAGGGGTGGGCGAGGAGTCGCGAAACCTTGACCTTAAAATTTACACTCACTATTTTCTTCAAAAATATACGTGAGTTCCACAAAATCAATCGAATTCTTTGATTTGGACATACTTCGTCATCACGTGTTCCATGCAATGACGAATGATTAGAACTTTATACTAGTGCACGCAATGCAGCTATTATAAGTTTTGACTTTTTTATTGTGAATTGGAATGAAAAAGTTTCGTTTTTTTCGGGTTCGTCACTTTAAGTTATGTCAAAGGCAATTAATGAATGGAACATCAATGTCACCACCAAATGGTACTGGTGTTTTGATACAATTTAGCTTTTTAGTTTTAAAAAGATTTTTTTTCGTTTTGTTTGTTGAAATTTTTTGTTATGTGCATTCAACCAAGAATAAATAGACTATAATCCATTTTTAATTCGCTGTGCATTAATGAGTACAGCACAAAAATTAAATAAAGAATTTTCAATTGATGTTGATCTTTTACCAATTCATAAAGCTTTAAGTTATATTCGTTCGTTAGCTAAACTGTTATTAATATCAAAAATTGAATTTGATATGACAGGTGGGCAGAGAAGAACACTTTATCAAAAAGAATTGGGTGTGGGTGCGAGTAGATTGTTCTTTTCTTCAGCAATATCCACACCCACTCACACTTCTAACAATTTTATTGAAGGAATTCAGTCGTCATATTATTGTTTTCTAGTTTATTGTTTTAACTTATTTATCCTTATAGTTGTGCGTCGTCGTGAGTGCAATCTGAATCGGTTGGTTCAATTTGATTTTTGTATTTCATCATTTAGTTATATTTGTAGTGATCGTAAAGTTCATCGAAAAAATAGAGTCTAATTTATTGTGCTGCTTTTCGTTTAATCGCATCAATACTTTAACTGCTTTTTAACAAAGAAACGGAAGAATATAGTTTAATTTATTTCTTTTTTTTATTTTACTTATTCCAATAGTCATCAGAGATTTTATAGAAGCAAAAGAATGAAAAAAATAACGTTTCTCTTTCCTTCTTATAATTGTTTGTTCCGTGTATTGCTCGTCATTTTTCTGAGAAAAAAAGCTAACAGTGAGTGAGAGGAAGCTAGTTTAGTTTACTTCTTTACTATTTTATTTCTTCCGATGATTGCCCGAGATTTTACAGAAGCAATAGGATGGAAAAACACTTTTTTTTCCTTTTTTTCAGTTGGTTATTCTGTGTATTTCTTGTCATTTTTACGAGAAAAACACCAAAAGGTTAGTTTCATTTAATTTTACTTTTTATTATTAAGATATTGTGAAGGTGATCGTGCGGATTATAAAAAAGAACAATCTAATAGCTTAATTCTGTGTTCTTTTCTAATCACCATGCCATTATTTTGTGCTTTTGTTCTGATAGAAACGGAGAGGGTATATTTGTTTTCGTTGCCTTTGTGCAATTATCCTACGAGCTTTTCCGCATTTTATAATGGAAATTTAATTTTGACTGAGAACCACATCTATATCTTTTGTTTTCAAATTATATGTACACAGTTGTATTTTTTTAAGATTTTTTGTGTACTCAAAAAGTGAGTACACTCTAGAATCGGTCAGTGTGTCCGTCCGGCCGTCCGGCCGGCCGGCCGGCCGTCCGTCCGTTTACACGATAACTTTTGAAAGGAGAGTCAGATCGTGATGAAATTTTCTACACAGTTCAGTCTTCGCAATATCTCGGTCGAGTTCGAAGATGAGAAGGATTGGCCGAGCCCTTCCTGAGTTATTGCAAAAATACTCCTTTTTCCCTATACCTTCCCTATGGAAAGATCGACACTTTCCCGCTTTTGTAAACAACTTTTCCTATCATAGCCAACTAAAACCCCAACTATTATATACCATTCGATAGAGAATTTCAAGAGCTACAAATTGGTATATAAAACATAAAGAAACAAGAAGGTTGACTTACCTATCACAAAGATAAGTAAAGAGAACTAGGTTATGTTTTAGTCCGCGATCTAATTGATCCACGTTTAGAGCTCTATCTTCCGATCACAGTGATGATGCTTCGAGGTTTTCTGGGGTGGAGAACTCGAATCTGTACTCCATTTCCATCGAAATACTATTGGTTAAGCAGTGACCAATAGAAATGAAGTTATAGGAAAAACGACTTTCTTAGGGTAAATCAAGGGAAAGAGTTCAAATTTGAGCTGTATTTGGTCCCAAGTCCTATTGGTTTGGCAATACGCAATAGAAATCAACATTTTGAATGGTAGGTTCCCCAGTATAATTTTGATGTTCACACATTCTGGGATGACTGATTCGTATGATTCACTTTTTTGTGTACTCAAAAAGTGAGTACAATCTAGAATCGGTCAGTGTCGGTCCGTTTACACGATAACTCTTCACAATTATATTCGATTGAGCTGCAATTTTGTGGAAAGAATTGTCTCATCAATATCTCGGTCGAGTTCGAAAATGAGAAGGATCCGTCAAGAAATGCCTGAGTTATCGAAAAAATTGTCATTATGGAACAGACCATCCTTGAGGGACGTACAGGGATTTTTTCAGAAAAAATATTTTGCTCATAATTATTCACAACATAGATAAATCGACTCCGTTTTTAACGCTGATTCCGAATCTGATATTAGTTTTGAACCAAATCGTAGTTTTCTAACAAAACATCACCTGAAAACGGTCTCAAGATGCACAAAAGCCGCATCCAGAAACCAAATTGCCTAGATATGTCTCAGATGGCCAGTAGTTTTGGGGTTTCCCAAATGCCTGGTTTTGTAGATAGTCAAAAGGACTATCGAAAGGTAAAAATCCGAACTCGATAGCTATTAATATTGGTGATTTATTATGAAAATACTGATGCCTGTATCTATCATATATCTCTTATAAATTCATGAGGTTGCTTACAATCGTAATCCCGCTAAATACAAACACAAATCCACTCAAAAATAACTCTTCTTATCCAGTGTTCCAAGCTGAACACGACTCTGAACTCAATTTTTGTGATTTCTAAAGATACTATATCACCCTGAGAGTAGACTCAGTGGTCACTGGATAGGGTCGCATACGGTGTGGTCCATGCTAACTTAGCACGCCTGTGTTTTCTCCTTGCAATTTAGTGACAAGGGATGTATCTTGATGAGATCTATGTCTTATAGAAAAAAATAAATACAGGGCCTAGTGGGCCGCGTGAGAAAAGTCCCAAATACCGACTCTCGAAGTATGCCATTTCCTTGAATTTACGCAGATTTCGGCTTATATCACGTTTTTATCTCATAACTTACTTACTTGAGTGTAGTGAATTTATAGATTAAACTGTTTCTTTCCAATTGAGACCTTCTTTAGCTCAAAGGGTCAAACCGTTCACGAGACAAGGTTGAAATGCTGAGCATATTCTCAAGATAGTTAATTTTTATTATTAAACTGTCTAAAATATTCATCCTTGAGCGCACTAAGGAGCTGCCCCTTAGGCCCTGCGGATGCCCTCTTTTTGTCCCGTAGGACGCGGCGAGGAGTTAGTTCCGGATGTTTTGTTCATTCGCATAAACTTCTTTGCTTTAGCTGAATCGTGTTTCTCTTTATAAACTCATGTTGATTATGTCAAAGTGTGGTACAAATTGTTGAGGATTTTCTTCAAAAGGTAAGAGAGCATCATAATGTATACCATTGTAGTAAACACATAATCCTAATTTATTCATATCGGATTTGTATCCTACGTATTTCAAATGACCACCTGCTGTCCGTTCATTAAATCGATCGATCAATTCCTCCAAGCTAATATTCGGTGGTATATAATGCCTACTTTCTGGACTGTTGTTAAATTGGGTATATGAATATATAGGATGAGATAGAGCTATAGAGAGAGCTTGAATTTGAACTTCTCCACCCCATATTTTATGCTTAGCAGTTCTTTTCAACTGTTCTTCAAATGAATAACCCAATGATTTACAAAGTGTTCGGAAATAACCGCTATTATTGATCATTGCATTTACTGCCAACAATCTCATCGAATGTGTTAGTTTTTCAGATCCAATATTTAATATCGAAAGAGAACTATATAAACAATTGCCATCTGCAGTCGTGCGGGTTCGAGCATAAACTGAGTCAAATGCTTGAACAGAATATTCTGCTTCCAATTCTAACTGGACGAATCGATCTTTATTTTGCATAGTTATAAACGGTGATTTTTCAATTACATCGTTGATTACTTGAGCTTGACTTGAAATTTGATCAGTGTCTGTAGTATTATTTAAATCAAGTGCAAAAAGAAAGTGATCCAAAATCTTCCTTGAGTTTGAATCAATGATCTCATAGTTTTCGGAAGAAGATTTTTCTTCAATATCCATCATGTCAGATGGATCATTAACTTTGAGATCTTCCAAATGGAAAGACATATCTAAGTCAATTTGTTCGTTTTTATCGACTGTTTCATGACATTCAAAAACGAATTTCTCATCGACTTCCATTGTGTCAGATTGATCATCAGTTATAACATCTTCAATATTAAAAGGTATATTTGTACGAATGCCTTCGGTTTCATCAAAATGAAACTTTGTCAAAACTTTCTGTTTTCTTATCCATATTGGTTTATGAAAACTTGTAAGACTTTCAAAATAATCAGATTTTAAGTCTTTCACATTAGTGAAGCAATAGTCAATCTGCGTTTTTGCATTAGTTGAATCTCTATTTAGTGTATTATTCAAACTAAGTCCGAATGATTTCATATATTCAATAAATTTGTTATTGACTTTGATCTTCAAATTTATATTAAAATCACCAACGACAATTATATTTTGACAAAACCCTTTTGAAATAGTTATAACTTCATTAATCTGTCGTTTTAAGATATCGAATGATGAATTCGGTGAATTGTAAATGGAAATTATACAAATATCATCAATTTTTATTGAAGAATATTCCATATGATTTTTGCCTGAATATTCATATCTTTCGGTGATATTTTCGTACTTCAAATCATTTTTTAAATAAATGATTTGACCGAATGGTTTTCGTACATCATCACAATCACGTCTGTGAACTATCTTGAAACCTTCAATTTCCAAGTTGTCACTTGGTTTTGTCCATGTTTCAACAAGACTTATCATGGAAGAAGACAAAAATGTTTTGTCACACTTAATATCTGAAATATGTTTATTCAATGATTGTACATTATCAAACATAATCGAAAATCTTTCTTCTTGAGCTTCTTCAGGAAATTCAAGTGAAAATTTCAGCATTCGTTCGGATCTCATGCTTTTGAACATCATCGCCACTGCATCATTACGTTCAGGTGGTTTCGGTGGAACGAAGTCGCCAATTAAATATAAACCACTTGCTTTTGTTGCACGACTACAAGCGACGTATAATTCAGATCTTGTCATTCCTTTCTTTAGATTGACAACGACTTTTTCATAAGTGCCACCTTGACTTTTATATATAGTCATGGCTTCAGAAGGAACTAGAGGAAACTGTTTCCGTTCTACTTTGAAATTAGTTGATCTTGTATTTATTTGCCGTGTTACTGGTTCAATTGGTGTGAGACTGAGATCGATATTTCTATTTCGCATTACATTGTGAAAGTTAGCTCTAGCTTTTCTTCCAGTCTTCTCCTCACTAAATTTAATCCATAGTCGACATGGTACTGTCTCATTTGTCTTTTGAAGTTTTCCATAATCAATCATTATCAGTTTTCCACAGGCGCCATTCACTAATCCATCTTCAGTGTCAATATTCACTGTCATCATATACTTAGCGCCCACTTTCAAATCAATTTTAAGTGGTAAACCGTATGTTTCAGTTGTTTTCAGATTCTTTACGTTGTTTAAAACTTTTTCTCTTATTGATGCAAGTCCATCACCAACACAAAAATCATAAGCATTAGCGATTGCACCTTCGGTATTAAGACTGGCCAATACTTTTGTATTATATGCATCAACTTCAGCATTACTTCGAAATATTCTTATTGCATCTCTCATCATTTCCAAATTTTCGTTTGAAACAATTCGTGACTTCAATAAATCAATATCATCAAGCGTCATTGTACCTTTCGCAATATTACTTAATGCAATAGCGAAAGTCTTATCATCTTTTTGTCTCATTATCTCTGACAATTCGAACAATTCAAACAGTGACCATAGTGAACTATCTACTAAAGCATTGTATGAATTGTTAAATTGGAATATATATTTATCACCAACTGGTCTTAATTGATTGAAATCGCCCAAAACTATGACTGATACTCCGCCAAATGGTTTTTTGGACTTCATTATTTGCTGCAAACGTGCATCGACGTGTTGAAACATTGTAAAACCAACCATTGATATTTCGTCTATGATTAGTAATTGTAGATCTTTCAATTTCACTCCAATTCTATTTGAAATATCACTGTCTAGTTTAACGAGTTTATGTTTGCATTGATTAACTGGTAAACTTAAAAATGAATGCAACGTCATTCCATCAATTAGTGCTGCTGCTTTGCCAGTTGGCGCACAGATTGCAGTACGAATAGTTTCTGGATTAGATCCAGGAAGAGAATTATAAAATCTCAGTATCGATTGATATACTGCTTTGATCAAAGTACTTTTGCCAACACCTGCACCGCCATTAATAAAATGAAAAAATTGCTTATCTCCATTTTTTATCAAATTCATCACATTTAAAGTATATCTTCTTTGATTGTTATTGAGACTTCTCATCATTTCCTGATATTCAGTATCTGGTATTATTTTAGGAACATTAAAATGTTCAACTTTTTCAGTTCGAGTATTAAGTCCCATTTCAACAAAGATATCGCCTTCACTATTTCCTATTTCATAAATGAGAAATTCATTCTTATCTTGATCATATTCAACATTTGTATCATCGATATCATTTTCAATTTCTTTTTCCATATGCTCTTCAAAAGCTTGCTCAAATTCATTGGCTTCACGATGAACATATTCAGATCTTTTCTGTCGAATCAAATCTTTATGTAATTCAAATGTCTCTTCATGATTTATAAAAATAAGGTCCTTTTCCTCATTACTCCATGGCAGAAATAGCATCAGCTGCTCTCTGTAATAATTTTCAGGATCCTGATGTAACTTAAAATTTCTGTATCTTATTATTTTTTTCTTTGTCCTCTTTTTTATCCAACCTTTTCCATTTTTCATCTTCAAAGCAGTATTCTTGTCATCATTTTCATCGTCGACGATACCTTCATTATCAGAATTTTCTATAATTTCAGTATAGCCTGTTTTTTTCTTTGATATATTATATAACGATGCAAAATCAGCTAAACAGACATTTTTCATTTCATCAGGCCGATTGATATACATATCAATCAAGCCTTCAACAAAAACATCTTTTGAATCAGGCTCCAATTTTTCAAGAATTTCATCTGATTTGAGCATAGAAATTCTATTTTCAGGCCTGTTGGTATTGATGAATACAGTGCTTCTACTGCTGATTGAAAGCGGAATACTTAGTATATGATAAACAGCTTCTTGTGCTGAAATTTCACTCGAATTCAAAAACTTATTTGCAATGACTCTAAGACGTTCTTTGACTGTGTTATTGCCCTTTTTTAGCTCATTCAATGCTTCTCTTAAAAGTTTAGACATTCCATTTTCAGATTTGCTGATGTAATCAACACAGTACATTAAGCACGCATAAGGATCAAGAACGAACTGAATGTCCATATTTGCTTTGTGCAATGACATTATCATTGGATTGTATGCATTGATTCTGATTTCATTTGGAGCACGTTTCAAGAATACCTTTGCTTTTTTTAATTCGACTCGAATCATTTTAATATACTCTTCTTCGTTCATATCGATATGTTTCAAGAATTCATCAAAAGTTAATGAATTATCTGTATCTTTTGATATTTTGTCAAGTTCTTTAATTACGTTCTGTCTATTTTTGCTTATCTCTTCACGTTCTTTTTTAGTTAACTTTTCATCATCACTAAGTGGTTCTAAAATCATCGTTCTTCTCATCGGGAAATATGGAATACCAAAACGACATTTAATACAATCTTTCACATGTTTTTTACAGGTATGTGAGTGCTTATGACGTTGCAAATTGATAAGTTCTTCGGAAAATTCCGTTGGCTTACAATTAACCGAAATCAGTTTATCAATAAATTCTGTACATCTTTCAATTGATTCAGGTTTATCTTTGTCGTATTTCGGAGCATTTTTCAACCATAATAGAGCATGAATATGTGGCGAGCCACGGACTTGGAATTCAACTCTGACATATTTATCTTCTAAATCATAGCCTTGAAATGGACCATAAGGAGCCGATAGTATTTCCCATAAACATTTTATTCTATGTTCAAAATAACGAACGCATGTTACAGGATCATTTCTTATCAAATCACATTTCTTTTGATAACTCATGTTTTGTGCTTCCTCTAATGTTATTACTTTATTTTCCAACACTTGAGTCAATATTACAATTAGTTCTGACCATTTTGTTTCTGCTGCCGATAATGTTAGAAAAATGGTTGCACAGCCTAACTGCCTAATCATTGCCATAACTTCTTTTTTTTTTAGTTCCCAGAATGCTGGTGAAGATCGATCACATCTCAAGAATGCAAAAGCATCATTATTGTGTATTAGACCATTCACATAATCTCGATTGAGCATTTGCGCAACTGTTACATTGCTCGTATTTTTTGTTTTTCTTAAATTTATTGAAATAGCGTCACAAAAC